CCAAAATATTGATCAGAAGGTGTCAAGGGTACCGTTGTGAATCGGGCATTGATATCTTTGTGTGGAGGGTTACTTTGATTTTCGCTTACAGTCCCTGTAAACATACGAATTTAAAACAAATATTTTAATGTTTGAATTCTATTTGCCAAAGGAGCCAAAGTGCATAATTTATGCATGAAGTGCATGATGCAGCATTTCAACTTAGCAATCAAGTTTAAGCAGAATATATTCTATATTCAGAACCCAGGAAACTTTATTCAAAAACTAGGATGCCGGGACAACCTATATATATTCTATATTCAGTAACAGAGTGCGTTTCATAATCATAAATCATGATGTTCATATCTACTAGCAAACAAAAGCAATATATTCTGACCCCCCCTCCCCCGTACAAATGTTGAGTTTCTCTTGAATTCTTTGTTTTGCTCTCCTCCCACTGCAGTACACGCGTAGACCAAAACTTAAGACAGGGTATTATTATGAAAACCAGTTTTGAAACCCGGGTTTCAGTAATGGGGTTAGGCAGTTTTGTAGATATCAATATTTTTGTTAAGAATATTATTTTATTTGGTTTCTTCATATTATCCTTTTTTTCGAATCTCTCAAATCAAAATTGCACAAATGTTAGACCCCAAAAAGGAAACTTGGGAGATTCGTTCAACAATACTCTTTTAAATTTTGGGCTCTGCAGTATGGCAAGAGTACAACAAGTTAATTCCCCTTTAATATATATTCTATTCTCTTTGGGATTTATACGCAAAACCAGACGCCTCAATTGGGTTCAATAAGAAGCCAAAGAATGTCGTCTTTTCTATAATTTAAGCATTTCCATTACCAAAATCTTGCGTCTTTTTACGTAATTTGCCATTAGAAATGCATAAATTTATTATCTTAAAACAGGTTGCAATGTAAATTGGTTTAACAAATTTGGCTTCAGGGTGTCCCACGAAACATGACAACAGCAAGACGACTTGAAAGTCGTCTTTGATATTTGAATTTATTTGTGACATTTAATCTTCTATCTACTTTAACATGTATGATTCTTGAAACAATTATCACATAATTCTCCTAGGCCTGGAATTTCCAAAAAGTGGTCTGTGTTTTTTGTGCTTTCAATATTACCGGAGATATAAAGAGTTTGTTTCAGATTTCAATTTTGTTAAATAAAAGCAAAATTGTCGAAATCTGAACGAAATTGTTCATATCTCGGGCAATATTGAAAGCACAAAAATGCAGACCACATTTTGGAAATGGCAGCTGACTAAGGGAATTTTGTGATTATTATCTCTAGAAATTTACTTCTAAAATTAGGTTGACAAATAAATGCAGCAAATTACATCAAAAATCAAGACGATATTCAAGTCGTCTTGCATACTGTCATGTTTCGTGGGACACCCTGTACCTAAAACCATGTTTTTTTTCGGACTTGCTTACGTTACTGGTCTAAAATTCTGCTTAAATATTTTATACAAATGAGATGCGTAACAAAATCTAATTTTAGCTTTATTTTAGCAGGAGAGCATCCTATTCTATAACTTATTAAAACAAATTTAGAAGTTTATCACCGTGTCGTTATTTTACCACCATTTTTAGCAATTACAATGATTAATTTATTTGATAACTAGAGTTTTAATGTTGATTGTTTAAATTAAAAACCGTCCAATACTGCAACAATGACGTCATATACAAGTGTACGGAGCGTACACACTATTCGGATAAATTCCTACTGCCCTATCTTCTAGTATTCTAGCGTCTGAGGGGGCTCCTAGTCTATATGTTTCTTGCATATATATATAATGCTATGAAAAGTTTTTAGTTTTAGTTGTTTAGAAGCAATTTACATAATTCATATACATATTGCGTGAAAGCTTGCAACCTTTAAAGCAAAATGTTCGTTCTATTTTGTTAAATAATGAAAAAAGTCAAATTAGAAATCAAATATTATCTTTTACAAGATGCCTCGCAGAGGAGAATTTTAAGATAACAATATTAGAACCTATCTTTCGCGGGCAGCCGCAGTACATTTGAATTTCCGAGCCGGGTCAACCTTTCCGGTCCCAGTTTGTATTGTACTCTATGGACAGAACTAGCCGGTGCAACAAGGTTGACGCGGTCAGACTTTATGCTTCACATAGGTTGAATTTACTTTTACTAAGGGGGCAGATTTGCGTGCTATATGCACAAGTTTTATATGTTTTAATGTATGTTACGTTGACAATCAAAGACCAAGGATTTAAAAGATACATTATATGTTTTCAATCACAACTTGAGAAGAAGAAAAATGTTTGGAATTTATAAATATGAATTGAGATGAATTTGCTTTTAACATACTTATGCATAAAATCAAATATATAAATACACGAGGGCTCACAGTGTACCAGGGAGTGAAGATGTAAAAGTACTGATTGTAGTTTATGATAATCTTATATTTTTATTTACTGTAGGCTATGCAGTTTCGGAATCTTGTATCTTATTATCTAAAAGTGTCTTGTTAAAATAGTCTTTGATAGAAGATTAAGATGAAGAAGAATAAAAATCTACAGACTGCAGAGGAAAATCACTACTGTGGTCATTCCCTGGGGCAGTTACTTGGTAAACGAGAAACCAAGCTCAGTTCAGAGTTAACCTTAGGGAAACAAAGATATATAGATAGATAAGTAGATAGGTAGATAGGTAGATAGATAGAAAGATAGATAGATAGATAGATAGATAGATAGATAGATAGATAGATAGATAGATAGATAGATAGATAGATAGATAGATAGATAGATAGATAGATATATAGATAGATAGATAGANAGATAGATAGATAGATAGATAGAAGATAGATAGATAGATAGATAAGATAGATAGATAGATAGATAGATAGATAGATAGATAGATAGATAGATAGATAGATACTAGATAGATAGTTAGATAGATAAATAGATAGATAGATAAATAGATAGATAGATAAATAGATAGATAAATAGATAGATAGATAGTTAGATTTATAAATGGATAGAAAATAGATAGATAAATAGTTAGATAGATAGATAGATATCCCAAATAGGGGTATAACCAGATCTTCAATGATTTTCCCCCAATCTAATATATGTCAGATAAATATTCAGTAACAAGTTAGTGATCCAGGAGTAAAGTTGTTATACAGTGAACATAGTTAGGTAGTTTTAGTTAGGAAATTTTGGAGATTTCAAATACTGAGAAATCCACAATAATCTAGTTTAATTAATTCAGTTTGTTTTTTGTTGTATGGTTTACGATTTTTAATAGCCCTCCATTTCACTGCAAATCAAGATGTTAACGCTCTCCCACAAAATCGAGCAGTATTTTGAGAATTACTCAAATTACATTCTGGGCCGTAGTAATTTGAATTCGAACAGGACCTGCCCAGTTTGTACCGGCCTGCCAGATAACAGCGTGTACTGACCTGATCCTATGGTACAGTACGTCGCCCTAACCAGACTAACATACGACAGGGGTCAATTTTCTTGGCATAGTCCCGTCGGAGTGCTAACTATGACAACTCCCATGGCGCGTTCAGACTTTTTACAGTACCCGACCTAATCCTAGGCCTATTTGACCGACCCCACTGGCTAAGTCCACCGTGTTTAAACTTATGCTAGAAATAGACGCTTAGTATTTTTGGAATGTATCTGTCTAGGCCTGTACAAAAATATGTTTGTGAGTGAGACGTTTGCGACACTTCAAAGTTAAGACTGTCTACAAATTGTACGACAAAGTTTGAGATTTTAATGAGAGTTGACATGTCTGATTCACAACGTGGTGCTTTTTAAATATTTAAAAATGTTTCAATTCAACAGTTGAATTATAAAAATGTTTATTCATTGTCTCTGCGGCAAAAATCGCTTTTATAGTGTAATTGAACATTAGAGAAGTCAATTTTCTGAGAGAAAAAAAAGAAATACTCTTTCATTCTTTTGGTTTATGATTATTTTTCCTCAAAAAAAATCTAGAATCTTAAAGTATTATATCTGTCAATATAAATTTTCTTAATAAACCACTAAAATGAGTTTCTATTTTTTTATCTATCTTTTATTAAACTCTAATATCCATTTTTCTCGGAATTATAGAAGGCTTTCCCCCACGCACAGCAGTATCAATTTTATCTGTATATATTATATACTAGCTGAAGGGCACTGCATTTCCCGTGGAATTTTTTTTTTGCCTATAAACCCCCCCCCGCCACCCATGAATGTCCAAAAAAAAAATCAGCCCAATCGGTCCAGCTGGCTATATGCAACATATATATATATATATGAATCTCTTGTTTTCTTATATAGAGATACATATATTCTTTTATTTAATAAAATATTCATTAAGTTAAAAAACAAGTTTATATACATCAGAGATAAAGTAGAAAATCAAAAATAATTATGATGCATATTTTAATTTTCATCAATTTATTAATTTATTAATTGTAATTTATCAAAAATCCTGAAGTTAGATTTGAACCTGTCCGTTTTAAATCAAATGATTTAGCATTTTTTTTTACAATGGTGCCCTAAGGAACTTAAAGGACTGGAAGCGTAATTTCAAGAGACCCTCTCTATGAAAAGATTGCAAAGCCCAATTCACAACGGCACCATTGAAACCTTTATATGACATAAATGTGGAAGACATTGTCGTTTTTCTAAGGTTAAAAGTTTTAAATTTTGATGATTCCCATTTGAAATGCGTAAGTATTTTCTGCAAAGAATAATTAGCTTTCAAAGTTATAATCATTGCTAATTTGCTACCTAATTATACTTCTAATGCTTCTAAAACTTTAAGGTACCGTTGTGAATACGGCTATGCCTACGTGAAACGTTTGATTAAATAAATACAATTTACGTTTATATTAAAAATTTTTTTATGGAATTTCAATATTTTTCCGGTTCTTGAGGTGGGGGGGGGGGAGGGAGCTGAATCTAAAAACGTTCCTCCACAATTTCTTGTGAATCCCCGAAAGAAAATTCCAAATATAATTTCAGGTTAAAAATGTCTGAAGCTCTCGAGGAAACGGCTAAAACCTGGCTCAACGATCCAGACTGGCAAAAGGTTTAGTACAGTGAGAACCAGAAAACTCTGGAATAGAAAGACGACTTTTAGACTTTAGTTATGACATTAAATAGTCCAATGAATATATGGCCCAATAATAGTCCAGTGAAAACGTAATTAAATAAGTTACTAGTAAACTATTTGCTTCGTAACAACAACAAATACACTTAAGTATTGCTTTACTATAATGTCGTCTTCCTATTCCACAGCTTTCTGGCTCTTCTGTAGTAAAGGAATCAATCTTTTTTTAAACAATCAAGGATTTTATAAATTTTTTATTAATATAAAAGGCTCAACATATTTTGAAACACATCTGATATGTTTGTTTACTATGCACTGCATTCAATTTTCTTAAGTGCAAATACTTGTACTGAAAATTTTATAAAATTTTTTTTAATCATTTGTTTCAAGATTTATGCTGCGTTTTTGCCACAAATTCAATTTTTCTTGTCCCGATATCTTTGCAGCCTGGTAGTGTAAACCGTTTCATATTTCAAACTTAGTCTAGCTTTTTACGATCATTGAAAATATATAATTAAAAAATCAGAGTTTGTGACAAACATCATTTGATACTCGAAACAATTGTTTACCTCATTTAATTTTTAATTATGATTGTCATCTTATTTGTTTGTGTCAAGTCTATTAAACATCTGCCTATACCTTAATGATGAAAATACCTAAAAAGAATATCTATCTCTTCCTTTTAGAAGCTAAATTCAATTTTTTAATTTTCAATACTTTATTCTAATATTGGTAAAAGTAATACAATTTGATGGAGCACGATCATTTGCTATCAACTCATTTGCAATCCACACTTGTATGCAGAGTCCATTAGCGCCTGATCCAATCAGGATTCAGTCGTGTGTTTGTTGTCTATTCTGAACCAATAGAAATTGTATGCTGTATCATCTATCTTTCTATCAATCTTATCATCCAATGAGAGAGGAATCCTTAAATCTCCACTAAAAATAAATGAAAATATTTGCTTCGACAGACACTTAAGTGAATCAGACTCATTTACTATCAGCCTCACTTGCTATCCCCTCATTTGATTTCAATTCACATGCTATTATATCAATTTGCTATCAGGCCTCATTTGCTATCAAAACGTTTACTCTCCAGTCTCAACTGCTATCAATTCTCAATGCTCATTTGCTCATTTTCAAGACTGCAATTACTATATAAATACGTTGCTTTTAAAACTAGCTGGTTTCTAGATAAATTACTATACAAACCAGTTCTTAGTTACTATCATAAACTAGTTGTTTTCTAGATAAATTACTATACAAACCAGTTCTTAGTTGCTATCATAAACTAGTTGTTTTCTAGATAAATTACTATACAAACCAGTTCTTAGTTGCTATTATAAACTAGTTGTTTTCTAGATAAATTACTATACAAACCAGTTCTTAGTTGCTATCATAAACTAGTTGCTGTCTAAATAAACCTGTTCATTGGATTCCATTTGTAAAACAGCTACCGCTTTGCGTCCGTTCTTGTATTTCTGGGACCTGTAGGTGGCCTGTGTATTGTATGCCTAGTCTTTGTAGTGAAAATACAAGTAGTTATTGCTATCGTTTATCAGGGTTGGTACTTTGGTTGAGGCAACAAAACAAGCTGGTATCATGCATGGCGCGGACTCTTGCATGATTCGATATTTATTAATGTATTTTGATTGGAAAAGCACATTAAAAATTATTAAAAATTATCTATGTCTCGAGAAATTATTAATTGTTTTGATGATTTGAAAGGAAGACGACATTCAAGGGGAAGTCACTTTTTTGCCTTTACCCCCTTTATAATACATTTAAGAACTAAATGTGATTTAATATATGTCAACTAATAATTTGCAATGTTTTAACATTAATTTTTATGTCTGACATTGTGTAAAAATGCACTCACCCCCCCCCCCCNCCCCAAAGGGGGGGGAGAGTGCAGAAGTCCTCAATTAGTTATCACCGCCACCTAAACGTATTTTGCGGCATGCGTGCTCCTCAATTGGTAATCTCCACCATCTCAATTTGTAATCACCGTAAAATCTTGTTTTCTGAGATTTTAATTTAATGCCTTTTTAGCACAATTTTTCATGGCATCTGTATTGACTTCAACTAAATTTTCAAATCGTTTTCAGATTGGTTTGGTCAACAAGAACTGAGAAACAAGCCATAGTTTATTTTAGCCGAATCTTAGATCCAATTCGCTGATTTCAGGGGCGGTTACAGGGGGACGTAGCTCCCCCCTCCCCCCTTGAGCTTTCAGAATAGCTTCTCAATAGCAATTAAGGGAAAGAAAACCTAGTGCAAAACAGGAAAGTCAAAATAGAATTTCTCCTTCGGCACGTCTTTGAGTTTCTATATCTGTTTTTTTTCAGAAAAAAATCTAGCACCCCCATCACTTAAATTCTGTATCTACCCTTGGCTGATTTAATGACTGCATTTCATGATTGGCGTTAAGATACTAAAAGGTCGGGCTGCCTGTTTACTAAAAATTATCTCATCACACGCAAAGTAATATCCATCTCCATTTAAAAGATATTTTCAAAAAACCTTTACAGTATTTAGATTTTTGTATTCGCCTACTTGAGTTCAAAATTTACAACAAACAAATTATATGCATAGAAAAACACAAAATTTAGAAAAATCAGTCTCATCGCGCCCTCTAGTGAAAATGAAGTATTAAGTTCACAAATTATTTTTAGCGCTTCATCGCTAATTAAGGAGCATGCATGCGCAAAGGTTCAAAAACGTAATCTTATTTCTAGTGCTTCATGTGGCATATTTATAGATTTATTTTCGAAACTGAGGAGCAATAAAGAAAGCCTTAAGAATATTATACACCATAGGGCCATTAACAGAGGTTAATATGGTATTTTTTATAAGAAATAAACGATTTAATGCTAACATTTTCATTTCTTATTACAAATTGAGGTGGTGGAGATTACCATTGAGGATCGTGCATGCCGCAAAACACATTTGGGTGGCGGTGATTGCTAATTGAGGGCTTCTGCACTCCCCCCTCGTCCCATGCAGTCGAGTCCGCTCCATAAACTACACAGGTTCCATGCCCACACAAAAAGAATAAAGAATTCCAAATTTTACGAACTTTTTCCATTTTTTTGCGGGATTTGAGGAGAAAAAAATTGGTTAAAACAAGGATTGAGTGCAAGTCGAAAATTTGATAGAAAATGATGATGAAGTTATTAATTGAAACTTAATAGCAAGTTGGTCTGATAGCAAGTGAGGCTTGATAGCAAATAAATGTGATCGCAAATGAGTTGCTTAAAGTAAATGAGTTTGATAGCCAATGTTTGGTAAGAAAATGAGGCTGATTACAACTGATTTTGATTGTAAGTGAGTTGATAGCAAGAAAGTTGATAGAAAATGATCGTGCTCCATTTTGATTTATTTCGTGATTAAAACATACAATTTAAAGAAATATTGACAATATTTTAAGTGTTAAATGATCTAAAAAGTTTGGTCTGTATCATTATTATCTAAACCTTTGCAGAAACTCCAAAAAGAGCAAAATTGAATACTGTACATTTTTTAAAAACAGACATTGCAAGAATTAGTGGTTGACTTAAAAGATAAAAATTTCAAGTGGTTTAGAAGAATGAATTATATTATAAACCATTTTACGGAAAAAATGAACTTTTGAAACGTTCAGATTAGTTTAGTTTAGTTTAATTAAAGGAATTGAGTTTTTGCCACAAGCTCAAATTTTCGAATCCCTACATCTTTGTAACCTGATAATGTAAGTCTTTGATATTTCAAACTAAAAATAAAACATGATTTATAGTTTGAAATATCTAAGGTCTACGACATTGGGTTTACAATATCAGAGTTTGTGGCAAAGACTCATTTCCTTTAGTTTAGTTTAGTGTAGTTTAGTTTAGTAAAGTTTAGTTAGTTTTTGTTTGAATAAAAACATAGCTTTGCACAATTCACAGTGCAGTGGTCCAATGTATGTGCAGTTATTTAACATTCAGTTGCCACTTTCTCACAGGGTTCATTCTTTTTCAATGATTCTTTTTAAATTTGAAATAGGAAATGTGTTCCAATTCTTGCAATTGTAAAAAAATTATTTACAAAAGACAGATCTTAAATTTGAAATATGGTACAGTCATGAACACAAAAAGGAAATTCTTAACGCCGCTTTTTTTAATCAAAGAAATGTTAGGGAAAATCTTTTATATTTTATAATTAATATAACTAATATAGATTTATCTAAAGATGTTCAAAGCTTAACTTTTGTGCTGGATTCTCATAATCCCGATCGCTTGATCCCGACATCCAGAATGGGAATTTTTAATTTGAGGATCAATACCTGATCTCTTCGTTCCAGTTATTCCTTCGGAGCTGAAAACTTTAGAATGGTGGATATCGGGATTAATGCTTGATCCACTCTTTTTGATAATCTCAAGATTAACATAATCTTGCAAGATTATCTTAAAAGTGTATACAAAACGATAAAATTCAAATTAATATTTTATCATCTGAGAAACTGAAGCAGCCAATCAGAGAAAAGCGGGCAACAAATGAGAGAACAGAAATATTCTCATTGGAAAAAACAATTTACGGATATCCAAGGAGAGAGAAAAAGAGTGGGTTAGGGCTAAAAAGAAAAGTTTCCACAGTGGATATTCGGATCAAGAAGTCAGGCTTAAAGTTTATCCATTCTAAAGTTCCCAGCTCAGGACAAGGTTACAATATAACACGACGGATATTGCGCGATCAAAGATGAAGTTAATCTTCAGATTAACAAAAGATAGAAATTAAGAATCGATCTCGATATCCATAATACAAGAGTTCCCAGCTCTGTTTAAATTACAAAATCCGCAAAAATTTGCAAAATTTTGCAAAAAAAAATCCGCCAAATTTTTAATAAGAATGGGCTTATTTCAGAACTAAAAATGAGTATGTTAATAGAAGATACCGCCAAAACCTGGCTTACAGACCCTTCATGGCAAAAGGTTAAAACTCCCATTATGTTTTTTTAAGCTTTGCATGACAACATGAATTAAAGAGAGTATTCGCGAAAAAGATTAAAGGGGTATATGATTAACAACAGCTAGACGCATAATCTTCATCGAAAATGGGATTTTATGAATAAAGAAAATTAGATAGACTAAGTACGGCTCTTTTTATCTAAAGTCGTCGTCATATATATTCATCAACACAATTAAGACAACTTTCGATTTAAATTTTTGAACTCTACAAAGCTTTCAAACAGCATGGATATACATAAACATGGAAACAAAGAGAAGCTGTTAATGGACACTTGTAATTTAGAAGAAGAGGGTTGTTAGACTTAAAAATTTAATTAGAAAATTCGTCTTGATTGTATTGATATTTAAATGCCGACCATTATATTTAAGCAAACTTAAACCACTTTAATTTGAATTTGAACCAGATGTTTAACTACCTGTACATCCTTCCCTTGTATTCATTAGTTCCTATCTATAGGCACTACTACTAGGCACTAGGCACTACTTTAATGTTCATCTCATCTTTTTAGAAAATTTTAAATATAAACTGTCCGCCATTGCTGAAGAAACTGAAGAAAAAAATCCTGATGAATTTTAATTTTGTTGAGTTTTCGCGATATTGATTAAAACGGATAGAAATTAAAGAACTGACAAGGGTCAACCCAGGTCCCAGACCGAAATATAATTCAACGTTTGACGGGAAAGAAAATATATTTAAACCAATTGAAAAGTACAAAACGAGAATGAAAGAGCAATTTTACGAATGGCGATTTTATATTTGTTTTTCGTAAACAATAAATTAACTAAATACATGTACATAGTATCATTCAGGAGAATCATTTAAAAAATATAAATAATATATTTACATTTGAAATAAAAAAAATACTCTGATATAAACACAAAAACTCTGATAGGAATGAGATACAATTTGTACACATAATTACACATATTTGAAAGGTCTCTGAATTACCTACCATTGGTTCAAATCCAGAATCACTGATTTAATCCTCAAGAATCTCTGACTTTGAATCGGTGATTTGAGATTTGAATCGGCGGTAGATAGTTCAGCAACCTCTCCTGCAATTCTCCCATGCATATTTCTTAAAGCTTTATAAATACCATTGCATGCTAATAATACAGTTTTGCAAACCCCAAACCTTAAATTTTGCACGGAAAAATTAAATTGCACACCTAGCTTCTTTTACTGCTAGGTTTTAGGGGGATTCTTAAACTTTTATAAATGATCTTCGGTAGGGTAGAGTGAAAATCAAATACATCTTTGCAACCTAATGGTGTAGACTATTTGATCTGACAGAATTACTATTTTGAATACGAAATCAGATTGGAAAAATAAAGAAATTAGAAAATTGTGCTTTCTGGCGAGTAATCTTTTCTTTCAGGACCATGACACGCGTGCATGCATGAAGGCATGAATATTGCATGCTTCTTACTATTTTCATGGCACCCGAAAAAACCTTTGAAATATTTTTTTCTTTTCTATACTCAATTATACCAAGGATTAAATTAAAGCCCTTTGGATTTTACGTACAAATCAAAGAAAAAATATTTGATCCTAAAAAGAAAGTGAGTCTTTGCCACAAACTTGAATTTTCTAATCCCTATATCTAAGCAATCTGATTGTGTAAACCTTTGATATTTTAAACTTATATTATAAAATAAAAGCTTGAAATATCTACGACGTTGGGTTGCAAAGATAAAGGGATTATAAAATCCTTGTTGGCATGGTAATAATTTAATTCCTGATCGACTTATCGAGTGAAAGTTGATTGAAAAAGTTTGTGTCATGTTTGCATGTTTGCATGTTTGGATTCATTGCGCCGAAAGATGTCACACGTAATTAAAAACAGAAAATACATTTAGATTTGAAAAAAAAAACATTTTGTAAAAACTACAAATCTTTAGATTTTAATTATTCAGAGTTATAAAACAAGGAAGATTGAGCAAAAAGGATGTGCAAAACCAATCTTTCTTTTAGGGTACTTTGGTTTTCCCAAGGTTATAATGCAAGGAAAGTTATTTCAGAGGTGTACACATCTTTTGCACTGCAGTGTACTGTCTATGGGCGGTAGTGTAAACACAAGACGGATGTTACAGTTTGACATGGGAAACTATTATGCGAATTATCAAAATTTTCAAAATTAAATGCTTTTATCCTCCTCGGATACTAGAGTAACACTGATGCCTCTATTCTTGTTTACAAATTCCGCCCAGAGAGAACTGGTTTCAATATGTACATTGTACACAGAGAATACGCAACAGAAATAAACTTTCCTTGCATTATAACCTTGGCTTTTCTGTCGAGTACATAAAACAACAAGAACAATTTCAAGATATTCTAAAATCAAACTTTTCTAGAGGCAAATGGTCTTAGTTTAAACTTTCCAATGAACCTTGCAGTGCGATGCTTTACAAATTCTGAAAAAATATTTCAACAAATTGAGTCTTATAAACAGCTGTACAGAAAATCAAAAAAGAGTTGTTTAGGTTTTTAAACATACGTTTGATGTTGTGATGGACTATGTTTGCTACGCCATGATGGCAACTGGTGCTCTCGCGCTTTCAGTCAAGTAGGTTTATAAAACGATAATAAAAATTGAACGAAAAATTGAAAAGGATTTAAAGCGTAATATCAAGTGACCTCAATGCGAAAGGGGGGTAATGCCTGATTTACAGCTAGGTACCCTTAAAACTTTGAAATTAAGCTTTAAAAGCCTTCGAGAATTTATTTGATGAAATTTTTGCATTTTACAATTTTCAATTAAACTTATCATAACTTTTAAATTTTAGATTTATAACAGCCCTGGGTAGTGGAGATGTGCTGTGTATTATAATGGGTGAGTTTATTCAGGTGTATCTAATAGTTCTCTATCTCGTGAGCTAGGACAGTATCCTTCAGGAAATACTTTTCCTATTGTCAACTATGCAAACTTCAACTACAGGTGACATAAACAATTCACAATTTACCATTTTTCAAGAATTTTTATCTGAAATTATAAATTTTTCTGAGATATTTTACCGTGACAAAAAAATATTGCAAAGTTTAATAAAAACAAAGTTTATAAGAATAAAGTTTTAAAATGTTTAAAATTTTATTGACACTTAAAAAACGGAACCAAACTTGTACAGTGTCTTTAGAAGCCTTTCTGATAGTTTAAAAAGTTTTGCAGTTTTTCACTTAATATAACTATTAAAAAAGACATGCTTCTATTTATTATAAATAAATAATTGTTTAATATTCTGTTAAACCTTCAAAACTTAAAAGAATGTAAAAAATGTGCCTTTTCTGTATTTAGAAAAATTATTCACTGCTTGAATATTCTAAACAAATTTTAATGAGGAACAAAACTTGCCGTTGACGTTTTTTCGAAAAACCAGAATGTTAATATGATTGTAAAAAATGATTGTTAAAAAATCTTGTGATATGTTGATAAATAATTCCTGTACTTCTCCCATATTGGACCAGCACGTAGAATTTCCTAAGAAAAAAATAAGATTCTTAGAAAATTCCGTTGTGTGAAAGTTTTAATTGAATTTTAAAAGTGATTAAAAACTGCAAATGTTAAGCAATATTCAAATCAAATTCACAATATTCACAATTAAGAAATTAGGATTTTTTTTAGCTATATTTCAGTTTCTTTCAGATATATGAAAAATAACGTTTTAGTATTTTTTCTAGTTTAATGAAATAAACTTTATATTGTATTTTAATGTTGTAAATTAAGACAATGCATGATTTGATTTCACAAAAATTGACGACACACCGAATTAATTACAGGGTGACCCAATAAATAAAGGGAGGAAAAGACGACTTTTATATCGTCTTCTATCTCTGAGTGTAGATCTTTTGAACTTTTCTTGATATTGACTGCAATACTTTTAGATGTATCTTTTGATGAATGAAATTTTTTATACATATTTAAAAATGTAAAAATGGCTATACTTTTTAAAACTGAAATATTACCATTATGTCGATCAAAAACTGTGTGTACACGTGTCTACATGTCTACATGTCTACATGTCTACATGTCTACATGTCTACATGTCTACATGTCTACATGTCTACATGTCTACATGTCTACATGTCTACATGTCTACATGTCTAATGTCTACATGTCTACATGTCTACATGTCTTCATGTCTACATGTCTACATGTCTACATGTCTACATGTCTACATGTCTACATGTCTACATGTTTACATGTCTACATGTCTACATGTCTTCATGTCTACATGTCTACATGTCTACATGTCTACAAGTAGAAGTCATCACTCACGTTCTTGACTATCTAGGACACCCTACAGTCACTATAAGAAAAATGTTTCATAACTTTATTTATTATAGGATTGAATAATACATTTTTAATAATCCTTAGGTGTGTGGATTCAGCACTTTCTCATTTCATGCAGTACGGACCATATTTCTATCTACTGCAGGTAATTACATGCAGTACGGACCATATTTCTATCTACTGCAGGTAATTTCATGCAGTACGGACCATATTTCTATCTACTGCAGGTAATTTCATATTTAAGGAAATACCCCCCACAAGTATATTAGCAATGATTTAAATTTGGGTAAAAAGTATCTAAAACCAACGAGGTTATAGTCTAAAACTACTGAGTCACGGAGGGATTTCACGGAGGGATTTCACTTCATAACTCTGATTGGATAATGAGATAGATAGAAACATAAATGTTACCGCCATACTATTTATATTGGTTTAGAATAGACAACAAACACATTACTGAACCCTTATTGGATTAGGTGCTCATGGACTCGGCATACAGGAGTTTAATATGGGGTGTAAAAGTGCAATAATAAGTTAATTAAATCGTTGTACAACGGAATTCAGACTTTGCCACAAACTCAGATTTTCTAATACCTATATCCTTACAATCCAATGTGGTTGACCTTAGATCTTTCAAACAATAAATTATGTTAGATCAAATAATCTATGGTTGAAATATTAATGTTTACACTGTCAGAGTGCAAAGATAAAGGGATTAGAAAATTTGAGTTTGTGGCAAAGACTTAATTTCTTTGGTAAAAATTCTAAACAATCTTATGTTTTTAAATATTTTTAAAAAGCACGATTTTAGAATTCTACATACATTGTTATTTTCAGACTCTTCTATTGATCTTGGTTGAGAAGTTCTCTTTAAAGATTCCACGCGTAGCTGGGAAAATTGAAAGATTTTACGTCAATATCGTCGAAGGAAACCAATTCGAAGTTGCTTTAATAATAATACAGTGAGCTCCATAAAACTATGGAATAGGAGGACTCAAATTACGATTTTTAAAATGTCTAGTGATCATGAATCACGTCACTTGTGCAGTGTACACAGACCTATGGCGCCTAGTACGCTGATTTTAAAACTGCAAAAATACAACGTGCTTTTTATTGGTTGTGTCATCTTTTTCCACATTTTATCCTGTCCTGTAGTTTTGTAAAAATAGTATTAAAGCACATAATTTTGTGCAGAAAAATTGTTGCATTTTTATTAAGGAACCTTTATTACATTTGACCGTAGAATCTTAAATTTTCAACTCTTTATTTTCCTTCTTTCTCCCCCTCTTTCTTTTTCTTCTTTCTCCCCCTCTTTCTTTTTCTTCTTTCTCCCCCTCTTTCTTTTTCTTCTTTCTCCCCCTCTTTCTTTTTCTTCTTTCTCCCCCTCTTTCTTTTTCTTCTTTCTCCCCCTCTTTCTTTTTCTTCTTTCTCCCCCTCTTTCTTTTTCTTCTTTCTCCCCTTCTTTCTTTTCCTTCTTTCTCCCCCTCTTTCTTTTCCTTCTTTCTCTCCCTCTTTCTTTTTCTTCTTTCTCTCCCTCTTTTTTTTTCTTTTTTTATCCCCCTCTCTCTTTTCTTTCTTTCTTCCCCTCTTTCTTTTCCTTCTTTCTCCCGCTCTTTCTTTTCCTTCTTTCTCCACCTCTTTCTTTTCCTTCTTTCTTCCCCTCTTTCTTTTTCTTCTTTCTCCCCCTCTTTCTTTTTCTTATTTCTCTCCCTCTTTCTTTTTTTTCTTTCTTCCCCTCTTTCTTTTCCTTCTTTCTCTCCCTCTTTTTTTCCTCTTTCTCCCCCTCTTTCTTTTCCTTCTTTCTCCCTCTCTTTCTTTTTCTTCTTTCTCCCCTCTTTCTTTTTCTTCTTTCTCTCCCTCTTTCTTTTTCTTCTTTCTCCCCTCTTTCTTTTCCTTCTTTCTCCCCCACTTTCTTTTTCTTACCTTCTTCTTTTGTTTAGAGTTTTAGAGTTTAGTTTCATATTTTTTTTCGGATATGAAGCTTTTTTTCAAAATGTGCCGATAAAATTTGTGTAACGTGCAACGTGCTTTCTTCAGTAGTCTTGCCGAAGCTTTTTTGGGGTCTTAACATTTCTGCAGATTTTGATTTAAGAGATTCGAAAAAATTGAAGAATAGAAAAAAAACTAAAAAAATAATATTTAATAACATAAATATTCATATCCACATGTCCCATTCGTGAAACACGGGTTCTAAAAATGGTTTTCATTACAATACCCTGTATAAAGTTTTGGGCTCTGTCCTCACTTTTTTTTTATTTGAATTGTTATATTATAAACCTCCAAGTTGTTATTGTACTGCAGAAAGTTTGTTTGGAAAGGACCCAGATGTGGCCGAGGATGTTTGTGATGTAAAGGTAAGAAGTTTTTAATTATGAATTTTAAAATTTTAAAAAATGAATCTGCGGAACAATTATTATATATATACTAGCTCGACTTTGATCGGAGAATTAAAACATTTAAATTTTGAAGAAAACGTCACAGCTAGGCCTGGGTCCCCATGGCTTCCCTAAAAAATTAAGCCAATTTAGTTTAGCCGTTTGGCCAGCTATAGCTGACATATATAAATATATATACATTAGCGAAGGGCTATATTATGTAGATATTTTTGTTATATTCATTATATCAGTGAGACATAATTAAGAAGAAAAACCTACACCTAGAGGAGCAAAGAACATTCTAGTAACTCATTTGTTTTGTTACAATAAAGTGCACTACTGAATTTTCTTGGAAGAATATAAAACAAAGCTCGGAACTTTGTTTGTTTACATTCCTCCAAAAAACTACAGTACACTTGTAAGTAAGCAAATATATGTGATACCATGGTATATTCAGCTGTTGGGTTCCTTATGCGCATATTCCTTAATTTGAGAGGGATAGGGGTTGTGTACGCAATTTACTGTACACAACCCCTATTCCCCCAACCTTAGGTATATTTACTTAGATATTTCCATTTATTTTGTCCTAGAAATTTAAGTAAGGAGATAAAAAAAAAACTTTGAGGTAATAAAAACTTAGCTTCATTGATTACAACTTTAACTTTAACTGAAACTTTAGCAGTTTAATTAATTAGAGTATTTAACATTAACTTGTTCGAAAATTCATTTCTAATTTTTATATATAATCTATATGTTTGTCCGATCATAACGTATGAACCCCTTGACTGATTCGCCTCAAATTATGATTGGGAATTCTGTAGCTTGGTTTTAAACTATTGTTAAATCCGTGAAACATGAGTAATAAATCCACATATCAATTTTTCTGAAGATACAGAGATGCAGCAAATCAGAATATTGAAGAAGAATATTATTAAAATGTGATTCACAAAAAAGCATTCTTTTTCTATCTTTTAGTCCAATTCAGATGCTATTTCTAGACAGAGAAGAAGAAATGAGGTAAAAAGAACAAAACAAAATTCTTTAAAAATATAAAAAGTGTCGCGGATTAAATGAAAAATGTATGACAAAAATTTATTAAATTTTGAATTGACTTTTTTTTCCATCCATGTTTAGAAAAAAAAGAACTCATACTTGATGATCGATTTTTTTATATCACAT